AACATGTCATCGATCTTTTCGCCTTCCTTCATCCTAAACATTTCGTACTCCTGCGTTAGGAAGTCAATTTTGGCTTCCCGAACTTGGTCCGTACCTTCATATGTGACCTCCAGCTTGTCCCACATTTCTTTGGCGGTGGTGCAGCAAGAGATCTTGCGATAATCATCGGGGTTGACCGCGCAGTACAACATGTTGATTGCCTTGGCATAGTTCTCAACCCTTTTGATGTCTTCGGCATCAAATTCGTCCTCGGTCTTTGGGACGAGTTTTTCACCGACCTTCTTCATTGGCGTTTCTTCGCCGTTTTTGATGACCAACCACAACTGGAAGTTGGTTGAGCGGATATAAATTCTCATCCGCTCTTTCCAATATGTGTAGTTGGTGCCATCAAAAAGCGGTGGCCTAGAGGTTGATTGACCTTCTCCAATTCCTGCATAAAGATTTCTAGAAGAAGAACCCATGATCGCTTTACTCTCAAACGGTTAAGTTTGGACGCGAGTTAGGCTCTGATACCAATTGTTAGAATAATAGACCAACGCTAGAGGGGGGGGTGAATAGCGTTTGATCGTAGAAATCGCAGGAATTAAAAAATTTAAAAGAGATGTAAAGAGAAGAGTGAGAGGCACACCAAATTTACCCTGGTTCACCACAACTTGTGGCTAATCCAGCCTCACGAGAGACTCTCTCGAGCTACACTACTATCTCGTTAAGCTTAACGGTGCTTAACAAACCCTTACAACTTGAGAGTTCGAGTCACACGAACCTCAACAAATCCTTCAAAGGAAACAGTCCTTCCTTTGAATCAACCGAGAGAAATACTTTCTCTCAACGTGTCTAGCAACACAAATACACTCAAGAACGAGACTCTCTTATAGAGTAGATGATGAGTAAACTAAGTACGCTCAAGAACAACTCAACCTTCACACAAAATGGCTCTAAAAAGCTTTGGAAAAGAATGTTTTTTGAATGCAATGAAAATATGAATATTGTGAAGTGAATTGATAAGAAAAGCAGACCCAAACACCCCTTTTTATAGTGCCAAAATAGGCTCCAACGGACCAATGCATTAAAGGGGTGATTGGCTTGATTTAAGAGATTGGATAAATTTGGGATATGCAGGATATTGGTTTCCCATCGATGTTTAGACTCACCCATCGCTGGTAAGCCAAATTTCCTTCAATTTTGAAGCCAACGGTCACCTACCCATCGATGGGTAAATGCTTCCCATCGCTGGGTGGGAGGTTGACTTTCAAACAAGGAAAGAATCAGCCTTAAATGACTTGCAACGGTCATGCCTTCCCATCGATGGTTTAGCCTTACCATCGCTGGGTTCCCATTGATGGGATAAGTTCCCAATCGCTGGGTAAGGTCGTTCTGCCTTGTGTTGATGTTGGACCAAGGCTTTAACAGCGATGGGTACAACTTCCCATCGCTGTTTGGCATGGTTCTGGAAGTTCGTTTGGCTTAGGGACCGCTTACCCATCGATGGGAAGATCTTCCCATCGCTGGGTGGGTGGTTAGCCAAAAACCCATGGTCTTTGCCTTAACCACGGCCTAGCCAACCGATGCGAAAACCGACTAAAAAATCCAAAGTTCTCCAAAATAAAAACCAAGTGTTTGAAACACTTATTTGATGTATTTGGCTAAGAAATCAAGTGAGTTACTTTAAAAATCACGTCATTTGAGTAAAAACCACGGCTAGCCAAGTTTACGCCGTTTTGCGTGGTTTTTGTCAAACGACCAAAAGCGAAAGATGGTTTTAAAAGTGTTTTTGTGGGAGAACCGTTTAAACATGCCAAAAAGTGGAAACCAATCAAAAAATGCTGAAAACCACTTGGTTGGTTCGGATGCCAAAAACCAATGCTGATAACCGAAAGCCAAATCCCGGTTTCTGAAAGCCGAACACTGGATGGCTTGGTTTTTGGTTTGGGTGAACACCAAGTGTTTTTAAAGACTTAAAAAAGTTTGAAAAACATTTTTATGATGTAAGAAATGCAATGAAAGATTTTAGCCTAAAGAGCCAAGGTGTAAAGATTGGGTCGGTCTTGATCACAATAAAGACCGACTCAACGATACTAAGACTAAGGTCTTCGTTCTTGGTCTTCGTTTAGCTCTTGTTCCTATCTTCGTTCTTCACCTTGTATATTCAAAGTTTGACTTGATCACGGCGGTTTGCCATTATCAAAACCTGTCATAAAAACAAACACGGCTTTAGTACGAAAAACGTGACAAGCCCGTGTTTCAACAAAACTTACCTTCGCTTAAGGTCAACCAAAAACTGACAGCGTAGTGTTCACTGTTGGGTTGGGTGGTACCCCCAAACGAGTAGGTACTCAAGTTTGGTTCTTGGATCCCGTACGTACGTTTTAACCCTAGCCACCGGGCATCATACCCGCAAGGCCTATTTCTAATCTATCTTAGGGGTCTTCTAGATAGTATTAGAAACCAACATCAAAAGGGATATATCTTAGAGTTCTTCTAGATATCCTTAATAGTTCATCATCAATTTCCAAATGGGTATATCCTAGAGTTTTTCTAGATATCCTTAACAGTACAATTCATCAATCCGAATTATTTCATAATTATCGTTGTATTCATTTCAAATCATAGTTTAAATCATTCACAATAATCATTTTAATCAGTGGGTTCATCATCAATAGGCATACATAACAATAATGATCATAATATTCAATAACAATTAGCGGCCTAGCGTCGAGTGTTAACACCCTAGCTTACCGTCATACATCACGTAAAGTCCTCTTAGTTGTCAAAACATCATTTTTATTTCAAGAGATCATCTTTATATTAATCATAATTTATTGGTATCAAACATAAGATTCCATAGTTCAAAAATCATGTTTTGTAAATAATAATTGATTAATACATGATAGGAAATTCAATTATTAGCTATTAGCTTCATTTTCTTCAATAGTGTAGGGAGACAGTCTACTGTCACTTCTGATAATCTACTGTCTGATGTTCAGAATGGGCTGATAATCGATTATCACACTCTAATAATCAATTATCAAACTTCAGAGAGGGCTGACAGTCGATTGTCACATTCTGACAATCGACTGTTGCTCAGCTTTGTTCCAAAAATCTGCAGAACGATGAATAATCGATTTTCAAGTTGATAATCGATTATCCATCGTCTTCTACCTCGAGCCAACTTGCGGAAATGTCACTTTTACTCACCAAACTTCAATTAAAGTATATAAAAGTGTTCTCCAAGGTTCATAGATCATTTTGGCATCATTAATTTCATAGTTTTAACATTAAAATCATGGTTTGCGATTCTTAGTTCTTCAAGCATGTCAAACACAAAACTCAAGCAAATGACCATCTATGAACGTAGAATCGATCTATATGAACATTCTAGTCATTAGATATATCTACGGGCTTACCTCGAAGCTTAATGGAGGTTTTGGAAATTTTCCGGTGAAACTTCCGGTGAGTATTTCTCCCAACTCCGGCGACTTCACACCAAATTGATAGAACCACAACACTCCTCACACTTTCATGAACACTTAGGAAGAAGAATGAAGAAGAATGGTGAAGAAATGAGAAGTTTGGGTTCTCTTATATAATGAGAAGGAGAGAAGAAGAAGACAGCTATGGTGACTCCATAATTCTGCGATCGGCGTAGTGGGGAAGGAGGCGCCGTCTAAACAGTTCCCTGATTGGGACCTATTTTGGTTCGAGTCGTGGTACACTTTTTGGTCCAACTTTCTCCAAATTGAAATCTGTTTGCACCGTTGCGATCAGACAGTCGAGCTTTATCCAACGATATACTTTTCATAATTATTTGTAATATTTTTTCCGACATCATATTTTTGGGTGGTTGACTTTGACTGAGTCAAAATTGATTTGTTTGACCTTTACTATAAAAGGTGTCATATTCAATTCATATTATTTATTCTCATGATTTATTTCAATAAACCATTTCAAAGTAAACAATTTCTTCATTTATTTTTAATTTGGGTCTGTACTCATGTTCCCTACCAAGATTACCCAATTAGTCAACATATTGGATTTATCTTTATGAGACTTATCCTGATTTGTGATATTGGATGTCAAAACACATTTCATTTCGGCCCAAAACCCAATAACTATTTATTTTAATTGAAACAAATTTGACTAATTGAATATTTATTCATTAAAAATTTTAGGGTATGTTTTGGGGCGTTACCGAAACGCTCGAAGTTTTCCATCTTTCTCTCTTCTATTCTTCTAGAGCTTGAAGAATGCTCGAAGTTCTTCTCTATCTGATACGATATTCGTATCAAAAAAAAGTTAACGAGTAGCCAAATAGTAAAAGTGTAATCATTTTGAGATTAAGGGAGTATATAATAAGGCCATCTTGTTGGAACACGGGTTTACGCCTACGTCGTACTAACCCGTGTTCGTTTTTATGACAGGTTTTGATAATGCCAAACCGTTGTGACACAACAAGTCTAAAGTGAGCAAAACCAAGGAGAATAAAACATGGCATGATGACATGAGAACCAAGAACCAAGAATCAAGAACAAAGATTTAGAATTGCATTGAGTCGGTCCTAATGTGATCAAGACCGGCACAAACTTCCAAATCTTGGCTCTCTAAGCTCAATTCATCAAAACCCTTTTTGCAAATTCAAAAATTTTTTTCATAAGTTTTTAAACATGGCTAAAAACACTAGGAGTTCGCCCAAACCAAAAACCAAGTCATCCGGCGTTCGGCTTTCAGAAACCGGCGTTCGGCTTTCGGTTTTCGGCATTGGTTTTTGGCATCCGAACCAACCAAGTGGTTTTCAACTTTTTATGATTGGTTTTTACTTCTGGGCATATTTAAACAGTTCTGCAACAAAAACGCTTCAAAAACCACCTTCCGTTTTTGGTCGTTTAGTGAAAACCATGAGAAACGACACAAATTGGTTAGCCGTGGTTTTTAACTAAATGACGTGGTTTTTGAGTTGTTTTACTTGATTTCATAGCAAAATGCAATAAACAAATGTTTTCAACTCTTGGTTTTTATTTTGGAGAACTTACGTTTTTGACATCGGCTAACGGCATGACTAAACCAACCATGGGTCTGGCTAAACCAACCCAACAGCGATGTTGGTGCAACCAACATCGCTGTCTGGCTTGAGTAGCTGAAAACCATGGTTTGGCGTTAAGTCTTCCAATAGCGATGTTGCATATTAGACATCGCTGTTGAGCCAAGGTTGGGTTTCCAGAAACATTTGGAACATCGATGTAGCCTTCCCTACAGCGCTGTCCAACCTAAGCCAAAAATATAGTGCATTGGCAGAAAGTTTTTGGACAGCGATGTTGACCCAGCAACAGCGCTGTCAGGCCAAAACTCCACCTTCAAAGTCAGACCTAAACAGCAATGTTCAAGTATTGAACATCGATGTAGGGACTTGACCGTTGGAAAGGATTTAAGGCTAAAACTTTCCTTGTTTGGAAGTCAACAGCCAAAACAGCGATGTAGGAGTATTGGACATCGCTGTTGGCATGATCGTTGCTTCCAAATTTTCAAAACGCAAGCCTAGAACAGTGATGTCCAAGCCTAGGACAGCGCTGTCTGGGTGAATTTCAGTAGATCCAAATTTAATCAAATCCCACAAATTGTGCCAATCACCCCTTAAATGTTTTGATCCGTTGGAGCCTATTTTTCCACTATAAAATGGGGTGTTTGGGTCTGCTTTATACATCACATTACTTCACAATCTCTACTCCTTCATTGCAAATCATTCATCCTTTATTCATAGCTTTTTGAGAGCCATTTTTGTGAAGCTTGTGTTGTGTTTTTTAGCGTTCTTAGTTACTCATTATCCACTCTAAAAGAGAGTATTGTTCTTGAATGTTTTTAGTGTTCTTAGACACTTGACAAGAGAAAGTATTTCTCTTGTTGTTCGAAGGAAGGGTTGTTTCCTTCGAAGGTTCGTTGAGGTTCGTGTGACTCGAACTCTCAAGTTGTACGGGTTTGTTAAGCACTGTTAAGCTTAACGAGAGAGTAGTGTAGCTCGAGAGAGTTGTGGTGAACTAGGGTAAAATCGGTGTGCCTCTTACTCTTCTCTTTACTTCTCGTTTATTCTTTATTTATTCCTGCGATTTCTTGATCAAACGCTATTCACCCCCCCTCTAGCGTTGGTCTATTATTCTAACAATTGGTATCAGAGCCTAACTCGCGTCCAAACTTAACCGTTTGAGAGTAAAGCGATCATGGGTTCTTCTTCTAGAAATCTCTATGCAGGAACTGGAGAAGGTCAATCAACTTCTAGGGCACCACTCTTTGACGGCACCAACTATTCTTATTGGAAGGAACGGATGACAATCTATATCCGTTCCACCAACTTCCAATTATTGTTGGTCATCAAAAACGGAGTGGAAATCCCGATGAAGAAAGTTGACGACAAGTTGATCCCCAAGACCGAAGATGAGTTTGATGCCGAGGACATCAAGAAGATTGAGAATTATGCAAAGGCCATCAATATGCTATATTGTGCGGTCAACCCCGATGACTACCGGAAAATCTCCTGCTGCACAACCGCCAAGGAGATGTGGGACAAGCTTGAAGTGACGTACGAAGGTACTGATCAAGTTCGTGAAGCCAAGATCGATTTTCTCACTCAAGAGTACGAAATGTTCCGAATGAAAGAAGGGGAGAAAATCAATGACATGTTCGACCGGTTCTCAAAAATCATCAATGACCTTCATGCTCTCAAAAAGACTTACGCCAACAAGGATCTCGTGAGGAAAATCTTGCGGAGTCTCACACCCGAATGGAGGTCAAAAGCCGATGCAATCTACGAGTCCATCGGAGTCTCTAATGTCACCATCGACGGGCTAAGAGGTAACCTCAAAACTTATGAATCTACTATTCTAACCCCGTCTTTGGATGAACAAAAGAAGAAAGGAATAGCGCTCAAAGCAACCAAGGAGACCGTAGAGGAGGTTTCAAGCGATGATGACAGCGAATTTGGACTTGTCATCAAGAAGTTCCACAAGTTCATGAAGAAGGAATTTGAGCGGAAGGGAAGGAAGCACGACGGTCCTCCCAAGTGCTACGGCTGTGGCGAGATTGGCCACATCAAGCCAAGGTGTCCAAAAGCGAAACACGGCAAGGATAAGCCCGGCTTCAAGAAGCAAAGGGCTTACATCTCTTGGGGTGGCGATTCCGGTGACGAATCAACCGACCAAGAGGAGGACGAAGCTGCAAATCTCTGCCTCATGGCGCACGAAGATCAAAACGATGACGTCCAAGAGGTATGTACCATTTCTTCCGACTCCTATACTTTTGAAGAAATGCAAGAAGCACTTCATGAACTTTATGAGGAATTTGTTAGCGCTTCTAAAACAAATAAATCTTTGAAGAAACGTCTTTCCTCACTTGAAAACGATTTTGAAAAATTGGAAAAAGAAAATGAAATACTTAAACAAGAAAACAAATTTTTTGGAAAAAAAAGCGCTGACAAACCAGAAAGCTCATCAAGTGAATGTGGGTCTTGTAAAACTTTAAAAGAGCAAGTCGCTAAACTTGAGAGCATGGTCAAGAAATTTAATACTCCTCACAAAGACTTAAGTTTACTTCTTGACACTATGCATTTTTCTAAGGAATAGGTTTTGATAAAAATAAAGCTAAATATAATGTTGAGCCACCACCTAGACAATCATCTAAGGTTCAACATAAGAAACCTAAAAATCAAGATAATAGAAAACCTAGTCAACCTAAGGACACTAGACAACCTAGACTAAAACCTAGGAACGAAAATGGTCATGGTAGACAACCTAAGAAAAATGATTTTGTGCTTAAAAACAAATTTTCTAAAATTAGAAGAAATAATGCTAGAGCACCTAGAAAAGGCCAGTTTCAAAATTTTCAAAAACCATTGTTTTCACAAAATAGGAACAAAATGGTCAAACCCTCTAACTATTATGAACCTAGGCACATGTACAACCCCAACGTAGTTTGCCATTATTGTAATAGGATAGGCCATATTGCTCCCGTTTGTTACACTAGGCATAGGCACCTATCACAAAATCAAGCAGACTACCATCACACACCTAACACCCGAGGACCCAACGTAAATTGGGTACCTAAAACTCATTGATGTGTTTTCATAGGTGTGCTTGAAGGCATCAAGTGTACTTTGGTACCTTGATAGCGGATACTCCAAGCACATGACCGGGGATGCATCCAAGTTTCTCCAAATCAAACCCGTTAAAGGAGGAAACGTAGTTTGGAGATAATAGCAAGGGAAAGATTATCGGCATTGGTTCGGTAGGTAAATCTGAAAACTCCTCTATAGATAATGTCTTGCTTGTTAAAGGTCTTAAACACAATCTCTTGAGCATAAGTCAATTATGTGACAAGGGAAACCGTGTGATCTTCGATTCAAAATCATGCACGGTAGAATGCCTTAGTGACAATAAGGTCATTCTACGTGGTGATAGAATCGATAACATATATATGGTTAACTTAGACAAATCTCCTTCCGATTTTGCTAAGTGCCTCATGAGTAAAGAGGAAGACACTTGGTTATGGCACCGAAGGGTAGCTCATATGAACATGAACCTTTTGAACAAATTGGTTTCACAAGACTTAGTAATTGGCATTCCAAAACTTAAGTTTGAAAAAGACGCCATATGTGATGCATGTCAAAAAGGGAAGCAAGTTCGGGCTTCGTTTAAGTCTAAGAACGTTGTTTCAACGTCTAGACCGCTTCAACTTTTGCACATGGATCTTTTTGGTCCTTCTAGAACGAAAAGTTTTGGTGGCAATTACTTTGCGTTTGTGATTGTCGATGACTACTCTAGGTTTACATGGACCTTGTTTCT